CTCTGTTTCTTAAAGAGTTTTGTGCTTAAGATAAGGACTTTGGTAATGAGATCTTTCTTTTCTGATTTTCAGTAACTCAGGCTTCTTTTTAAAAATTTTTTTAAATTTAATTTTTCAAAAACATTTCAATTAATTATTTAAACATTTTTCTTTTTAAATTTTGAGTTCCAAATTCTTTCCCTTCCCATCACCCCTCCCCCACCCACTAAGAAGACAAGCAGTCTATCAATTATATATGTGAAATCATGCAAAACACATTTCTATATTAGCCATATTTTTAAAAAGCAAGAAAAATTAAAAAGAGAAAATTATACTTCAATTTGTACTCAAAGTTCATCAGTTCTCTCTCTGGAGGTGGGTAGCATTTTTTCATCATAAGTCCTTTGGAATTGTCCTGGATCACTGTATGGATCAGAGTAGCCAAGTCTTTTGCAGTTGATCATCATTATAACATTGCTGTTATTGTGCACAATGATCTGGTTTTGCTCACTTCACTCAGCATCAGTCCAAACAAGTCTTTCTAGCTTTTTCTGAAGTCCACCTGCTCATCATTTCTTATAGTACAATAGTATTCCATTACATTCATATACCACAGCTTGTTCAGCCATTCCCCAATTGATGGGCATCCCCTCAATTTCCAATTCTTTGCTACTACAAAATGCGCCGCTATAACTATTTTGTACATGTAGGTGTTTTTTCTTTTTCTTTGATCTATTTAGGATACAGATCTAGTGGTGGTATTGCTGAGTCAAAGGGTATGCACAGTTGGATAGCTCGTTGGGCATAGTTTCAAATTGTTCTCCATAATGGTTGGACCAGTTCATTACTCCATCAGCAGTTCATTAGTGTACCTATTTTTCCCTCATCCACTCCAGCATTTGTCATTTCTGATAGGTGTGAGGTGGTTGTTTTAATTTTATTCCTCTAATCAATGGTGATTTAAAGCATTTTTTCATATGACTATAAATAGTTTTGATTTCTTCATCTGAAAACTGTGTGTTCATATCCTTTGACCATTTATCAACAGGGGAATGGCTCTTATTTTTATAAATTTGCCTCGGTTTTATATGCAGTATATATTTGAGAAAGGAGGCCTTTATCAAAGAAACTCCTGCAAATATTTTTATATTACTTCATTGTATATGTACTGTTTAGCATAATGTAGTTTCCCTGATTATTTCTTTTAATTAGGTCTATTTTTGCTTTTGCTTTGTCTGAGATCATGATTGGTATCCCTGCCTTTTTTACTTCAGCTGAAGCACATTAGACTTTTGTTTCAACCCTTTGTTTTAACCCTGTGTACTTTCTGTTTCGTGTGTCTCTTGTAAACAACATACTGTTGGATTCTGTTTTCTAATCCATTCTGCTATTTGCTTCCATTCTGTTGATGAGCTCATCCCATTCATATTCATAGTTCTGATTATTAACTGTGTATTTTCCTTCATCCCATTTTCTCCTGTTTCTTCCTCTCCTGCTCTCTCCCTCCCCAAAAGTCTGTTTTGCTTCTAACCACTGTCTCCCTTCATCTATCTGTCCGTTTATCATATTTCTCTCACCACCCCACCCCTTCTCTTCTCATCTTCCCCTTCCATTTTCCTGTTGGGTAAGTTACATTTCTGTACACTACTGAGTGTGTATATATATTTTTCCTTCTTTGAACCAATTCTGATGAAAGTGAGATATAAGTATTTCCTGCCACCCTCTCATTTCCCCCTCCATTGTAAAAGCTCTTCCTGGAGCTCCTCTTTTTGTGAGAAGATTTTCTCCATTCTCTCTCTCCTTTCCCTCTTCTCCTAGGGCATCCCTCTTTGTTATCCCTTTGGTTTTTGGAAGCTCATTCCCATGATCTTCCCAATTCACCCCCATGCCCACTGTCTATGTCAACTCCTTTTAACTGCCCTAATAATGATAAAATTCTTAGGAGTAGTTTAGGTTTTTGAGGAAGTGGGGGCAGAGATGCTACTGAACTTGCAAAGGCTGTTGATGGGTAGCATCTCCACAAGAGTTGCTCCCTGGACCATGTCTGGAGAGGGCTGGATTGGAAGAAGGGAGAGTGGTTTTGGGGGTGTTGCTATCACTGGGGCTTTTGGGCAAAGGTGTCCTGAATTGTACCCACCTGGGTCTGTGGTAAAGGCAAGCGGTAGTTGAGGCAAACATTATAATGACAGGAGGAGATATGGTCACCTAAAATGTTAGTTTTGCTAATATCCTCTAAACAGATATAAAAAATGAACCAGAAAGGCAGCTAGGTGGCACAGTGGATAGAGCACTGGCCCTGGAGTCAGGAGGACCTGAGTTCAAATCCGCCCTCAGACACATAACACTCACCATCTGTGTGATTCTGGGCAAGTCACTTAACCCTGATTGCCTCACAAAAAAGGACCAGACCAAATCCTGAAAAAGTCTCAGTGAGTCATTTGTCCAGCCAAGCTTAGCATAGGGAGACAGACAGAGAGGTTTACAGACACTGATGCTGTACTGAGGTTAAGTTGGGCCAGGAGCATACCAGTACAGAGCACTCCAGTACATAAGGGAAAGCTATATACTAGGGGAAAGGGAGATCTCAGACTCATACTGCAGCACTGTGATGGGGAAACATACCTACTGGCAGCTTTGTAGCCCACTACTAGTTCTGAGTCATAACTCAGCCTGAACATGAAGGTGGTGTTTGGATGAGAGGCCAAGAAAGAAGAAAGTTCATTCAGTTCAGAAGTAAGCAGCAGTAGCAATAGAGATATAGCTTAGACCAGGGGTGGAGAACCTGTAATCTTGAGGCCACCTGTGACCTCCAGGCTGCAGGTTCCCCACCGCTGGCTTAGACCCCCAGGAGCAGGGTAGAGATGCAATTCTAGCATCTAGCCCTGCCTGCAGAAGAATAACCAGGGCAAAAATCTCAGACCAAAGGGAAGCCTACAATTCTGCCACTGGGAACCAGCACGACTTTCCAGCTGGCTGATAAGGGCTGATGAATCCAGCCGAAGGGTACTCTCACTCAGACCCAAACACAAGTCAGGAACTTCCAGAGCTCAGATCAGGGGAGCAGCCCTGGATCAGATTGCTCTGGGAGCATTGAAATCTTTCACTTCTCCAGCCTGTCCCTGAGATCCTGGAGTAACACAACCCTCAATAACCCAAGAAAACAGCAACAGGACCAGCTCAGACCTTCCTCCAGAAGTTCCTCAGAGCCTAGCCCTAACATCAAGTCCAAAACCAGGAAGTAGGATGGAAGAGTGGACAAAAAAAAAAAAAAAGAACCACATCATAATGAGCTATTATGATGGCACAGAAGCTCAAGACACAAATGTAGAAGAAGAGAATAATTTAAAAACTTCTACAAGTAAGGCTTCAGAGAAAAACATAGACTGGACAAAAAATCAACTAGAATTCCTGGAAGAGAAGAAGAAAGAATTAAAAAAAATGTTTTTATAGATAAAATGAAAGTGCTGGAGGAAAAAATTGGAAAACAAATGATAGCTATGTAAGAAAGAAATGGAAAGGGAATAAACAGCTTAGTGCAACAGGTTTAACCTTGCTCAATCCACAAAGTACCTGATAATTGGAATGGACCAAAAAGGAGTTAATGACTTCATGAAGTAACAAAAAATATTAAAACAAAGTCAAAATACTGGGGGAAAAATAGCCAAAACAACTAATTTGGAAATCAGATTAAGGAAAAAAAATTAAGAATCACCAAACTTTCTGAACATGATGACCAAAAAAAAAGAGCCTAGATGTCTTATTTCAAGAAAAGAAAACAGTCCAGATCTCTTAAGAATCCAACAGTCACTTCTTGAAAGAAACCTCCAACTGACAACTTCCAGGGACATCAGAGTCAGAGTCCAGTTCGGATTAAAGGGAAAAAAAATACTCTAAGCACCCAAAAAGAAAGAAGTCAAGTACTAAGGAGCCACAGTCAGAATCACACATTTAACAGCTGCCACTAAAAGGAGAAAAGAGAATTTGAAATGCAGTATTCCAGAAGGCAAAGACTTTGGGCTTATCGCCAAGAATAACTTAACTAGTAAAATTGAATATAATGCTTTAAGGGAAAAAATGGGAGGGTTCGGAGGATTTTGGCTGATTAGACAATAAAATATTTTTAATATTTTAATATTAATATTTTAAATATTTTAAACATGGAAATGGAATTAGTGGGGGAGAGGTAGGAGTTAGATTTTGTTGATTCAAAAAGGTAAAATTTAATAAAATAAAATGAACAAAATTTGTTTAAAAATTGAAATTGAAAGAATCCAGTTTGGAAAAGGAGAGACAGAAGGACAGAGAAAACATGACCCATATGGAGGACCAAAGGGGAAGAGTTGGGATCTAACAGTAATGATAATACTGCAATGATGGCTAGCACTTTAACGTTTTCAAAACTCTTTTTTTGGGGAGGGAGGTGGGGAGGCAGGGAGAGAAAAATTTAAAACTCAAAAGCTTATGAAAGTGATTGGTGATAATTCAAAATAAATTAATTTTTAAAAATCAGCTAACTACACCCCCCCAAAAAAGGCGAAAAAAAAACTCTTTACAAATATTACCTCATTTGATCGTCACAAAAAACTCTCGAAGGTAGGTGCTACTATTATTCCCATTTTACGGATGAGGACTGAGGCAGACACAGGTTAGTGATTTGCCCAGAGTCACAGTTTGAATTTGAACTCAGATCAGTCTGGCTTCGAGTCCAAGGCTTTAAAATCTCCCGCACCACCTAGCTGTCCTACAGTCTAGAGGTACTTCCTGCATAATTTTTCTGGCAGGGCATTAAAAAAAAAAACAACAACAAAAACTGGGAGGATTGGGCGTCATCCATCATCCATGTGCAAGGGGCGGAACTCTTTTTGCTTTGGGAGTTCGTGCGGCAGCGGACCAGAATCTGCGTGGGACGCAGGCGCGGGCGGAAGTCGCTCTTTGAAGCCGGGAGAGGACCGATAGGGAAGGCGAGCTGTGCCCGGAGAAGGGGAGGAGGGCGATGTGAGGTGGGTGTGGGGGAACGCGATAGATCTCGGACCGCTGACTTCCGGCCTCGGAAGGAGGCTGGTTAGGGAGTGTTAGGAGTCAGGATCGCACCCCAGACGAGGCGGGGGAGGGAGTATCAGGCTCCCGGTCCCCACCGAGTCTCCAGGCTGTGGCCTGCCGCTCTCCAGTGGCCGGAAGTAACTTTAATTTTTCGGAGAATCCCAGACTTGTGCCTGGGAAGGGACGTCTTCTAACCCAACGTCCTCGTTTTACAGGTGAGGAAACCGAGGCCCCTGGGGTTGCATGACCTGTTCAAGGTCACAGAGGTAGTAACTAGAGAATGACGGAGTCAGAATTCGAACCCAGATCTCCAAATCTAAAGCGTCTTCCACTAACCCACTCTTTTATTAATGAAGTTTTAAATCACCTATTTCAGACTTGATGTTAGGGTTGGGCTCTGTGGAACTTAATGTTGCTGCTTTCTTGGGTTATTGAGGGTTGTGTTACTCCAGGATCTCAGGGACAGGCTGGACAACTGAAAGATTTCAATGCTCCCAGAGCGATCCGATCCAGGGCTGCTCCCCTGATCTGAGCTCTGGAAGTTCCTGACTTGTGTTTGGGTCTGAGCGAGAGTACCCTGCTGCTGGATTCATCAGCCCTTATCAGCCAGCTGGAAAGTCGTGCTGGTTCCCAGTGGCAGAATTGTAGGCTTCCGTTTGGTCTGGTATTCCTGCCCTGGTTATTCTTCTGCCGGCAGGGCTAGATGCTGGAATTGAGACCATGCTCTGATATTGGAGTCTCAGCCACACTGCTGCTGATGCTGGCCTCTGAACTTCTTTCTTGATACACCACCCAGGGCCTTCCTCCTGGGAAACAGTACTGCTGTGCACAGATCGCCTTCTTACTCTGCCCTGGATCATTGATCTCAGATCTGATAGTGTGCGACCAGGCTGCCGTTTGGCACCTGTCCCCATCTCTGTGCTCTGGTATGGGTCTGGGACTTCTTTTTGTGCATGGCCTCCTCCTGGTGTCTTGCCAACCTCTCTGTCTCCTTGTGCAGACCTGGGCCTGATAAAGGACTCACTACGACTTTTTCTGGATTTCCCCATCACGATTTGGTTTGGTGCATTTTATGTGTTTGGAGGGACTGACAGGAGCTCAGTTGCATTGATTCCTTCTACTCTGCCATGTTTTATGGAACTTAGTGTACGTTTGCCAGTTAACCTTAGGTTCAGGAAGATGGGGATTATTGTGATGCATGTTACAGATTCTGATTACATTTGAAAGAAAGGATGAATTCACTGGTAATTTGGTAACTTCTGTATTATTACTTCTGTTACAGGTAAAGCTGGACTTGTAGCTGAAATTTCTTTTCCCTGATGAATTCTGAAGAATTTTATGATTTGAATTGGTTCTACCATGGCTTTACTTCACAAGCTGCTAAATGGCACTAGTTTTCCTAAGTTATGCAGAATGCAAGATGTTGCACGATGCTTTTTGTTGGGGCCTGTATTTGCTGGCTATCCCTCCAGACTGTATGGTAGTATTAAAAAAACAGAGGCTGCTTCAGGCAGATCTTCCCCTGAGGTAAATACTCAAGGTGGATTGGAAAAACAGACTAAGGGTGAGGTTGGTTTAGATCTAATTTCACCTAAGGAAAAGATTGAAATTATTTTCGACAAAGCAATTAGGACTGAGATAAAAGATCACTTTAAGCTTTTAGCAAAGGAGTTGGTAGACCGTTGGAGAGGACCCGAAGGTTGCCCTTTGCATGAAGTTTTACTGGAAAATACTAGAGTGATGTGGCAATTTCGCAGTGATGAAGATTTGGATAAGTGGCTAGTGACGTCTGACCGGACAATAGGAGGCAGGAGCAAAGCCTTCCTGAAAATGGCCAGCAATAACCAAAGTGCACTCTTCCATGGGATTCTCAATACTGAACTTCCTCATGATGGGGAGACCCAACGGAGCGGATACTGTGCAATGACATCCAGGATTCCAAGGGTAGGTGAGATAGTTAAGCTCTTTGGCTCTCCAAAGTGCCCTTCTCTGCAGTCTCAGTTGTAGTACATTGCTTTTATTTATGACAAGGGACATGCATGCAATATCCTGAGCAGAGGACTCCAATTTATACTGAGGGACACATTTATGCCACTGAAATTAAAGGGGAAAAAACATTCCTAAAGTAGAGTAGAAAGTCCCAATTTATTTGTTGACTGGCCCCTATTATGTAGCCTGGTCATTTGGGCCAGAGCAGGTCATTCCAGTATCAGAAAAACCCTGTTTATCCAGTGCAGTTTTAGAAGTGGTGGATGAAGATTTGAGTCTGCTGTTCTTTTGTGGGCCCATGGCTCAGCTTTGAACTAGGATCCCTCTCTGGCTCTCCTTAGAGCAAGCCCAGATTTTCAGGACACTGAGGAATCATCAGACTGGGAATGGATTAGGGATGGCCTGTGCTAGCTTCCCACAGTTGGTTTGGGTTGCATTTGGCTTATTCTCAGCAGATCGGGAAACAAACTGGTAGGAACTTAGTCATTTGCTTGGAGTTGTGTTGTATCATATTGCTGCTCTGAAGTTTAACCTTGGGGTCATGCTATACTCTTCCTTCCCATTGACTCTCCTATTTCCGAATAGTTGCCAAGTCTTGTCTAGCTTAACTCTACAACATCTCTTATATCCTCCCCTTCTATTAACTAACTTGACCACATCCTTATCATCCCTTGACTATCTCTTAATTAGATTCCTAGCTTCCAGTCTTTTCCTCCTTTTAGCCGACCTCCACACAGCCACAAAAATAATTCTTCTAAAGTGCCAGTTTGACCATATTACTCTCTTACTCAAGAAAATTCAGTGGCTGCCTGTTGTCCGCTTCTCTGTTAGGAGGTATGGGTAGCATGCTTCGTTATCAGCCCTCTGGAATCGTGGTAGAACCTAGCTGTTCATCAGAGTTCTTGAGGCTTTCAGAGTTGTTTGTAAGCCATTTGTTGAAAAAAAACCAAACCAAACCAGAACTGAAGTATTATGTGCAAAGCATTGTTTAGTGGAAGGTGGTTTGCACATGCTGAATATCCAATTAGTTTTAACAACTAAGATTTGTTAAGTACCTTCTATGTGCAATACATGTAGGTCCGGGGGATAGAAAGATGAAAAATGACATTCCCTACCCTCTGGGAGCTTACAATCTAACAGGGACATAGAAAACCACAGATAAGTATATGACAAGGGGTCTAAGATACCAGGCATTGAGGTCCTTTCTGGAACTAAACTGCCAAGCATTTAGACTCTGCTTCGGAGAGCACAATTCCAATGGGCTGGCCATGTTCGAATGCAAAATTTGCCAAAAAGACTATTTTATAGAGAGATCACACAGGGCAAGTGTTCACATGGTGGTCAGAAGAAGCAATACAAGGACATTCTCAAGGTCTTTCTTAAGAACTTTGGAATTGATTGTGTGACATGGGAGACACTGGCACAGGACCACTCAGCATGGCGTGCCCTCATCAGAGAAGTTGCTGTGCTCTATGAGCAAAGCAGAATTGAAATAGCTCGAGAGAAACGCAAGATACTCGAACTTAGAGAATCCACCCCAGAGGTTCACACGGACTATTTGTGCCCGACCTGTGGTAGAACATTCCGAGCTCGTATTGGTCTGATCAGCCACAGTGAGACCCACTGAAACTTGACCGTAGCATAGGGATGTCATTTTGGTCCTCTTCGAAAACGAAGGACCACAACAGTGACTATTACCCCAGAGAATGGGGCAGAGTTATATAAATTCAGAAATATAGAACCATACTGACTTGTGCTCAGACACTAATAACTATTCAGTGTCCTGTTTTCATTTTCACCAATATTAGTAGATTTGAACAAAGCCAAAAATGGTTCCTTCTGCAAGAAAGGTAAAATAACTAGTGTTTTCTTACTATGATTATTTTAGATGGTGATCTGTATTGCACAGTGTTCTCACTATCAATATAAATATTAGGTTATATTATTAAAATTATCAACTGATATATTACATTATCTTAACTTTTTTCCATGCCTTTAGGGTGCTTTTGAGAGGAAGAAGTATTATGATTGGTCCAATTTTAATACTCTCTATCTCCGTGTGCGTGGGGATGGTCGGCCCTGGATGGTGAATATCAAAACAGACACTGACCTGGTCCAAAAAAGTCAACATTTGCATAGTTACTTCATGTTCACGCGTGGGGGGCCATATTGGCAGGAGGTGAAGGTAAGAGCAACAAAGACTTACTCTGGGTTCTGGAATTGAGATCCTTTGGAAACATGGCTACATCTTGATTTTCTTTGTCTTATTAATCTCTACCGATAGAATGTGGAACTGCTTTATTTGGGGAAGTGAAGAGCTGGCCTTTGCCCTTATGGCGAATGTATTATAATACTAAGTATCACATCATGATACTGAGTATATTGATGTGGTTAGGTAAAGGCAATATTCATGAATGTGCTAAGTCACACATTTAGATCAATGCCAAATGCACAAATAGATTTTTTTCACATATAATTTATGTCATAGCAACTCTGAACCATCTCTACTCAATGAATGGTACTATTCTCAAGGAAGAGAAATCAGTTTCTCAGGGATTAAAGTTATTGAAACTTTATGGAACAAAATTGCATCAATTCACAGGGATACAAACAAAAGTCTGGGGGATGTTACTTTATGAGATTGTGTTTTTCTTTTCTCACCTCATCTATCTGAACTAGTAATAATATTTCCTTTCATTTGGTTAGTGCTTTTTATGTTTTCACAAAATCACTTAGTGCAGTGTCTGGCACACAGTAGGTGTTTAATAAATGTTTGTTGATTGGTTGAACCTTTCACTTACATTATTGCATTTGAAATAAACCTTAAAAGAATTCCTCAGAGCTAGGTCAGGCAAGGTATTATTTATTCCCGTTTTATAGATTAGGGAATTGAGATTTAAAGAGGTTAAATAAATTTGACAGGGTTGCACAGGTTGTAAAGGGCAGGACTTGAAATCAGGTTTGCTGATGTGTTGATTTCCATATAATTAATCTTTTAGTTAAAGAAGCAGAGAGCCAGCATCACCAACCTTGTGTCAGGTATAATACTAAGCTAGTATGTATTAGTGTTTTGCCTAAACAAAAAATTATTTAAACACTCAAAATGAAAGAAATCTTACGTATAAATGCTTTTAAAGTCACTAACAAATTGTTTTCCTTCCCTTTTTTTTACAAATCTTGTAACAATACTTAAACGATTTTGCTCCCAGTAATACTTTTTAGATTGGCAAGGAAATGAGATGTATCTTTTACTTAACTTTTTGATGTCGTTTAACTCTTAATGATCTGGGAAAGAGCAAGACTCTCAAAGATTAATTAAAATTGCTTAAGTTTATGGTGGAAATGTACCCACATGTTCACATGGTTCCCATCTCATTTTTAAGGAAGGAAGGATTAAAGATAAGGAAATTATTTAATAGGGAATAATATCTTATCATCTTCTGTAAATACATTTTTTTTTCATTAAACAAATATTTATTAAGCAAATCTATCAAAGCACAAGTAACATTATTCAACAGGGATCACAATAATCATTTAAATAGTGGTAGAAAATTATATAAAATGCAGGCCCTACAACATTTTATTAGTATAAAAAGATTGATATGCTATTAAATTTGTTAAAATTTGTTTTCTTTTTTATACCCTTTTATGTTCATGATGCTCAAAAGTGTTTAAATAGTTTTTAAAGTGAGAAAAAAAAGCAATTGCACCATGTTAGTCGTGAATTTTCCAGAAATGCACCTATTAGAGATTAGACATTCATCAGATGTTTGTAGTAACCCAGAGCAGAAATAGAGAAGGTTAAAAAGAGAATTTTTGAATCATCAAATAGTAGAATCCTCAAGTCTTACAATTACAGATTTTAAGATCATGAAGCTGGCAATATTGTTATACCTTATCTACTCCCACATTCCACCTAAGGTAAAAAGCCTCTCTACATTTTTTGCATTAGTCCTCACGTAGTCTCCTTTGGAGCATTTCATCACCTACCAAGAAAGTTCATATAAATTTGAGCCAGGTCTGATTGTTCAAAAGGTCTTTCTGAGGTTGAGCCAAAATTTACCTCACTTGAAATTTCCCTTGTTGGTCCTAGTTCTTCCCTCTTGTTAAGAACCTCTTTTCCCTCTCATCACCCTCGTCACCATCATATTTACCACATTATTTTTTAGCCTTTTTGGAAGAGGAATGTACTTGGTTCTATTTATTTTTTTTGTTTTCAACATCTACTTTCACATGATTTTGAGTTCCAAATTTTCACCCCATCTCACCCCTCCCCCCACCCCAAGATGGCATGCATTCTAAATACCCCTTCCCCTAGTCTGCCTCCCCTTCTATCTCTCCCCCCCTTCTCTTATCCCCTTCCCCTTCACTTTTCCTGTAGGGCAGGATAGATTTCTGTACCCCATTTCCTGTATTTATTTCCCAGTTGCATGTGAAAACATTTTTTTTTTTTTAAACATGTGTTTTTAAAACTTTAGGTTCCAAATTTTCTCCCTTCCTTCTTCCCCACCCACCCTCACTGATAAGGCAAGCTACTAAATATAGGTTATATATGTGCGGTTATGCAAAATACTTCCATAGTAGACATGCTGTGAAAAACTAACTCTATTTCCCTTAATCCTATCCCACCCATCCATTTATTCTACTCTTTCTTTTGACCCTGTCCCTCCTCAGAAGTATTTGCTTCTTATTACTCCCTTTCCCAATCTGCGCCCTCCTCTCTATCATTCCCCTACTCTCTTGTCCCATTCCCCCACTATTTTCCTGTAGGGTAAGACAGATTTCCACACCCAATTGAGTGTGTATCTTATTCCCTTCTTAAGTCAAATCCTGTGAGAATAAGATTCACTCATTCCCTCTCACCTTCCCGTGTTTCACCTCCACTGTAAGAGCCTTTTCTTTTCTGTTTTTTTTTTTTTTGTGGGATAATTTACCCCATTCTACCTCTCCCTTTCTCCTTCTCCTAGTATATTCCTCTCTCACCCCTTAATTTTATTCTCCAGATATGACCCCTTCATTTTCAACTCACCCTGTGCCCTCTATCTATATCTATATATACGTGAATATAAATTTTTCCCCTCCAACTACCCTAATACTGACAAAGGTCTCATGAGTTACAAAAATCATCTTTCCATGCAGGAATATAAACAGTTCAATCTTAATAAGTTTCTTATGATTTTTTCTTTCCTGTTTACCTCTTCATGTTCCACTCCAGTCTTGTATTTGAAAATCAAATTTTCTATTCAACTCTGGTCTTTTCATCAGGAATGCTTGAAAGTCCTCTATTTCACTGAATGACCATTTTTTCCCCTGAAGGATTATACTCAGTTTTGCTGGGTAGGTGATTCTTGGTTTCAATCCTATCTCCTTTGCTCTCCGGAATATTATATTCCATGCCCTGCAGTCCCTTAATGTAGAAGCAGCTAAATCTTGTGTTATCCTGATTGTGTCTCCACAATACTTGAATTGTTTCTTTCTGGCTGCTTGTCATATTTTCTCCTTGACCTGGGAACTCTGGAATTTGGCTACAATATTCCTAGGAATTTTCCTTTGGGGATCTCTTTCAGGAGGAGATCGGTGGATTCTTTCAATTTCTATTTTGCCCTCTGGTTCTAAAATATCAGGACAGTTTTCCTTGATAATTTCTTGAAAGATGATGTGTAGGCTCTTTTTTTGATCATGGCTTTCAGATAGTCCGATAATTTTTAAATTCTCTCTCCTGGATCTATTTTCCAGGTCTGTTGTTTTTCCAGTGAGATGTTTCACATTGTTTTCTAATTTTTCGTTCTTTTGGATTTGTTTTACAGTGTCTTGATTTCTCATAAAGTCACTAGCTTCCAATTGCTCTATTCTAATTTTTAAGGAAGTATTTTCTTCAGTAATCTTTTGGACTTCCTTTTCCATTTGGCCAATTTTGTTTTTTAGGGAATTCTTCTCCTCATTGGCGTTTTGGACCTCTTTTGCCATTTGGGTTAGGCTATCTTTTAAGGCGTTATTTTCTTCAGTATTTTTTTGGTTCTCCTTTAGCAAGCTGTTGACTTGTTTTTCATGATTTTCTTGCATCACTCTCAGTTTTTCCTCTACTTCTCTTACTTGCTTCTCAAAATCTCTTTTGAGCGCTTCCAAGTCCTGGGACTGATTCATATTTTTCTTGGAGGCTTTAGATGTGGGAGCTTTGGCTTTGTTGTCTTCTTCCGGTTGTATGTTTTGATCTTCTTTGTCACCAAAGTAAGATAATATAGTCTGACTCTTTTTGCGCTGCTTACTCATGATCCTGGCCAATTACTTGAGTTTTAAACTCTTTGTTAGGGTAAAAGTCTGCTTCCAATGTGAAGAGTGTACTGTCCCAAGCTTTGGGGGTTTGTACAGCTGTTTTTAGAGGTACTTCTAGGGACCTGTAAATTTTCAATTCTTCCAAGGTGGTATGATAAGGGGCGAGGTGTTTTCTCTCCACTGCCACAACAAGCTCTACCACACCAGTGTTCCTCTTCGCCCCAGGACCGCCCCTCAGAACTGTGACCCAGATCGAAACGCGGGCAAAGCAAGAGATTCCTGCCTCAGCACTGGCAAAGAGATCCCTGCAATCTGCCTCTTATCAGCCACTCGATTCCCCCTCAGTCTGTGGGCCAGAAGCTCAGGAAAAAGCCGCGGCCCCGGCCTCCGCTTGAGACTTGCGGCTGAGACCTAGCTCCTCTCTCACCGCAATCACAGACTTTTCCCACTGATCTTCTAAATTGTCTTTGGCTTCATGGGTTGAGAAGTCTGGAAACTGCCACAGCTGCCTGCGATTCAGTGCTCTGAGGCCTGCTCCAGGGTTGCTGCGGCCTGCGCCACCACGCTGAGCTGCAGTCCTCTCCCCGCCCAGCACAATATACCTTTCCCATCAACCATCCAGGCTGTCTTTGGCTGGAAATTTGTTTCACTCTGTCTTTTTGTGGATTCTGCTGCTTTAGAATTTGTTTAGAGCCATTTTTTTAGGTATTTGGAGGGCTTTGGGGGAGAGCTCAAGACAGTCACTGCTTTCCCTCCGCCATCTTGCTGTACTTGGTTCTAAACATTCTGTAAATAAATCTTAAATGTTTAAAGTTTCTGACTAGCTTTTTCTTTTACTAGTTAAGCAACCTGAATTTCCTTATTTGTATAACTTTATCTCTTTCTATATTGCATATATACCTTGTAAAATTAATTTTTATTTAGAACTCAACACCAAATAAAATGGGCACTTTCATATATAGAGAACAGAAAAAGAGAATTGTACTTTGCAAAGTCTTGAGGAGCATAACTGTGCATATCTATGTTTTTGAGATTATATGCACATACACAATGGGAAATTGGGAGTAGTCAAATGTTTTTATGGAATTTATATGCCAAGGAGATGAACTCTACAAAAATATTTTAGGGAGTATAGGTAGGTGAGTAGGTGAGTATAAACATCTTTCTTATTCAGTGGTTAGGTCTGGGTAATTCCAGAAAGGTTTTTCAGGAAAGTAAGTTTGCAGTACAGGGATAAAAATAGCCAGATGGATGAGAAGTGGTGAGGTTGGCAAAGGGGCTACAGAAAAGGTGTTGTTGTTATTTTCTTTTTTTAATGGAATATGTTAAGATGTAGCAAATTAACTGGGAGAGACCTTCATTAGATATATAGAGAGATATGTATATATGTCTAAATGTAGTATTACCTGACTGTGTGAATTTAGAATTAAGTTTAAATTCACTGTCGTCCCCTCGTGGGATCATATCTAAGTAAATGCCAAAGTTCTCTGCATCTCAGGCGTAAATGATGAGATAAGTGCTTTCTTACTGCAGATTCCATTCTCCAAGTTTTTTTTCTCCAGTAAGGGGAGGATCCAGGATAACCAGCAGCAGCTTCTGACAGACCAGGTGAGTTTTTTGTGAATTTTCAGGACCATAAGGTCCTTTTGTACAATGCTGTTCCAGTGAAGGTGTTCACTACATTTTCCACAAATAGCAAAGAATGACTGTTTATGCCTGGAAAGTACCAATCTTACGCCTAAGCTTATTGTTGCTTCTTTTATTCGGCAGCCTAAGAATAAAGGAACTGTGATACTCCCATCTTTGTAGAGTCACAAGAGTGTGTTTCATCTTTAAAATAGGGTAGAGCAGTTCAAAATCCAGGGACTTCTTACAATGTCACAAGTCACTTAAAGGGCCTTCCCTGGAATAGTGATGAGAATGGGAGAAAGGCTGCATGTGAGAAGAGCTACCACTCACATTTTTATGGTGTATTAAAAGTCTGTAAACCCTCTTATGACAACTCTGTAAGTAAGGATTATATTATTTTACATATGAGGAAGCTGAAACAGGGAGAGGCCTGTGGTATGGCAAAGTAATGACAGAGCCAGGTTTCAGACACAACTCTTTCTCTCTCTTTGGTCATGCACCTTCCTAGTGGCCTGGATGGGCAAGTGATAATCTCCTCTAGCTTTGCAAGAGAGGACAAGACCTTTTTTAATGCTCCCTAGGGATTAGCAGGGTTTTACATGTCGTTATTAGAACATAGAAACAACTTAGATTGAAGCATGAAGAGACTCAGCTATTAATAAGTATCTGAGAGAATTAAAGATATATTGTAAACAATGAGCACGAGATTTTAATTATTTTCTTTCTTTTCAATACAGATCAGTAGTATTGGATTCACCTTGGCTGATAAAGTTAATGGTCCTTTCTACCTGGAATTAGATTTTATTGGAGTGTTTCATGACCCAACTCATACTGAAGAATTTGCCTATGAAAATAGTAAAAAGATTTGTGGGAATCTTTAGCCAGCACAGTGGATCATCATTTATTCATAATTAAGTAATTGATATCATCCTGTTACTTGAAAGTGATGAAATAAAGTTTTTATTGCTAGTGTTTTATGCAGTGTTGTCCTTGGTTGTATGTATTGTGAAATGATCAATTCCTTTCATTTCTTGAGAGGAACAGGAACAGCATTGGATCCAAATCTAAAGAGAAGGCAAGGGATATATAGGACACTTAGGATAATCATTTGTTTAAATAACATGTAAGGTCTGCAAAATGCTTTCTTCACAGTAACTCTATGTAGTGGCCATATTAACATCCTTTTACAGGTAAAGAAATGAACTGAGTGGTACGTGACTTTCCTCCCTCAGCCATTAGCCATGTGACCGTAGATTCTAAATTTAGTTTTATTTTCAGTTCTAAATTCTCTGCCTCCCACACTCCCCTCCCTTCCCCTTTGAGAAGGCAAGAAAAACAAAACCTATTACAAATGTATGTAGTCGTGCAAAACAAATTTCTGCATTAGCCATGTTATGACCATGGATTCTATACCCAGGGATTCTAAGCCCCCAAGGCAGACATTCTACTGTACCATGATGTTTTCAGGATAGCGAAATATCTCGTAGTTCTATTGCCTTGGCTTGAAGCTCATTCTCTGTATTTCCATGTAACTGTCTGTGTAGGGACTCAGATGCTTTCTTGCTATGAATATAAATTTTAAGAAAATGTTTTTATATGGATGGCTTGTATTCATGTCATACTAATTTCCAAATATGTGCCACCTCTAATAAGCTTTCCCTTGTAATAAAGATTAAAAAAAAAAAAAGGCAGTTCAGCAAAACCAACCAACACACCATGTTTGACATGTGATAGTATGTGCAATTCTTAAGTGGCAGAATTCAAGACTGCCAGAAAAGTATATAAGACATGTTTGAAAATCCAGTACCATTTAAAATTTTTATTTGTTTATTTGATATCTTTTGTTTCTACATTATCATAGTTATCTCAAGTACCTTTCCCTCTTCTTCCAGAGAGCCATCCTATATAACAAAATGTTTTTTGGGGGAGAAAAAATACCTTCACAAATGATCAATATATTGAAAATGTCCAAAAACGAGTACAATGTCTAACACCTTTAGATCTCTCACCTCCATGAAGGGCTGGGTTAGGGGTATCTTCTTTTATCTTTTCCTTTGAGTCCTACTTGATCGTTACAATTTTGTTACATTTACCTTTGATTTTTTGGTATGTAGTTAATTTTTCCATTTACATTGTTGTAATTACTGTATATATTGTTTTGTTAGCTTGCTTACTTTACTTTGCATCAGTTCATAGAGATCTTTCCATGCTTCTCTGTATTCATCACAAATATAATTTCTTATAGCACAGTAATATTCCATTATATTCATATACCACAATTTGTTTAGCCATTCTCCAATTGATGGGCATCTACTTTGTTTCCAATTTTTAGTTATCACAATAAGTGCTGCTATAAATTTTTGGTGTATGTTGGGGGGACTGTTTTCTTACTAATGGAGTCTCTGATTCAAAGAGTATGGACATTTTTGTCACTTTATTTACATAATGCTAAAATGCTTTCCAAAATAGTTGTACTGTTTCACAGCTCCACTAACAATGTATTAGTGTGCCTATAACCCCTCCAACATTGTTGCCATTTTTTGTCATTTTTGCCAGTTTGCAGGGTGTGAGGTGAAACTGCATTTCTCTTATTATTAGTGATTTGGAACATTTTTTCATGTGGTTGTGAATACTTTGCAATTCTTCTTTTGAGAACTGTTCATATCCTTTGACAGTGTAGCTATTGGGGAATGGCTATTAGTCATACACATATACATATGTGTCATGTATGTTCATTGTTTATTTATCTTTGATACTAAGCCCTCATTAGAGAAATTTTGATGCAAAGATTTTTTTTTCACGTTTGACCACTTCCCTTCTTATCCTAGAGGCATTAATGTTATCTATGCACCTTTTTAGTTTCAGATGATCAAAGTTATCTGTTTTTTTTGTGATTGCTTCTGTCTCATGTTTGGTTAAGAATACATCACTTACCCATAACTTTGAGAGGTACATGATCTGTTTCTTTTCTTTCTGTTTCTTAATATAATCTTATATTAAGATCACATATTCATTTAAAATGTATTGTGGAGTGTGCCCGCAGGGCTTCTTAAACTTTAGCTTTTTTGAGTTTTGGCAGCATTCGTTGGCATTGCATGGGCTGAGCATGTACACTACAAAGTGCACATGCTTTGTGTTCAGTACCAAGGCTACAGTGAAGTTGTGGGATGCAGCATGTGAAGCGTTTGATTTTGAATTAAGTTTTGGTCTTTGTGCATTCAGAAACCTTTTACTTTTGCTAAATTTTTCTTGACCTCATATAGAGTTGAACCCTTACAGGTATTGGTTTAGCCTTTCTGCCAGATTGCTTTCCTGTTTTCCCATAAGTTTTTAATCAAACAAGGAGTTTTTTCCTAGGTAATTTATGTTTTCCTCTTTATCAAATACTAGGTTATTGAATTCTGTAGCTTCTGAATTCTTCCTTATCTAGTCTGTTCCATTGATCTTGTTCTCTATTTTTAAACCAATAACAGATGGTTTTGATGACTGCTGCTTTATAATATAGTTTGAGGTCTAGAAGTGTTCTCCCCTTCATCTATACTACTTTTAATCATTTCCCATGATATTCCAGATCTTTTGTTTTTTCCAAATGAACTTTGTTATTTTGATGCATAGTAATTTTTTTTTATCCCCTCAGTTTTATTTCGTTTTTGTCTGTTTTTTGAATGTTTCTTTTATTTATTTATTTTTTTTTTGGAATGTGTTTCTTGTAAGCAACAAATTGTAGGGCTTTGTTTTCTTATTCAGTATGTCACTCATTTTTGTGTGCTTTTTTAAAATCTTTTCACATTTAAAATTATGAGTTAAGTTTATGTTTTCCCCATCAGTCCCTACTATTGTTTTTTTTTTTCCAAGTTAGGATTTTTTTTCCCCCTCTTCTGAACACAATACTGTGTTTCGTCAGTTACTTTACCTTAAGATTTTTTAAAGTGTCTTTTTTCCCCACTGGCTCTCTTTCCCTCAACCTTGATCTTCTCCTTTTGTTTCTTATTCTTTTTCCTTTGGGGTACCAAGTTTTATTGTTATTAAAAGTATAAAACAGACTATAGCTCAGGAGAAATTGAATTTTCAGTTTTAATTTTATTTATAAAAGTCTTACAAAGCAATAGAAATCTTTTAGCAGGTGAGCTTAGGTACAGTATTTTAATCTGACAGAGACTGTGCCAAATATAAAACTCTGAAAGTCAATAGAGATGGCTCTAATTCTAAGCATCTGCAGTCTTTTATATCCTTTGAATAAGAGACTAGATTACAGAGCACAATAATCTTGAAAGCTAACTTAAAGAAATAACATAAGAATTAAAAGCCTCTTGTAAGCATGATCCTTTTGCTTTAGTCTTGAAAGCATTTAAGGCATAAATGAAATACGGCATCTACTAACAAATTAGCAATGAATATGCATTTATAGAGAACAGTTATCTAAGGAAAAGTCTAAGAAAACATTGAAGCTTGACTTTTTTTATACTGATGCTCCTCAGTCAGGGTTCAGTATTTTAGTTAGTAGGTTCTCTAGAAGTTTATAGGAGTCTTCTATTCTAACTTCTCCTTCTGTCCCATCATTTAAAATGTGAAAAAAGGTTATGCCTGCAAGTTATTTAAAACCCTAGGACTAGAAGAAGATATGTGACGTTAAAAATGTAGTTCAAGGATTAAGAGGCTGTACTTTATTAAACAAAAAAAAAAAGAGTTAGGGAAAGACCATTTTAGATAATTTGCCAGAGTTTATAAATGAAACATTTGTAAGCTGATAGTATCACTATTTCAGTGGTGGTGGTTAGTAGCAGGTTAATGTGATGAGCAGGGGTAAGAACAGAGTTAGGACAGGCTGGATGAAATTTACAATGACAAAACAAAAATAGAAATATTTACAGAAGCATAAAAGATGCGTAATGAAGACTATCTACAGAGTGCTTGGCGGATTGTTAGTCTCCAAGCATGACTAGTCCTCTTCGAGTTCCAAGGACCCCATCTTTCTTCTCTTTCCTTTTCTGCTCATGTTTCCTCCGTTGCTCTTCTCTGAAGACAAAGACAAGCACATATTTGAGATTAGGGAGCAGCAAGATAATCTTGCAGCAATTAGAATACCACTTTAACATCAGAGTAGTGTTAATGCCCAAACTACAAATATGCCAAATAAGAATGAAACTATAGCATTTCATTTGATTAAAGTATAAAACTATGGAGATTTTCTTAATCTGAGCTCCGTGGATAGATTTTAGGGGGTCTTAAATGGGAAAAAAAATTTACATCTTCATTTTCACTAACCTCTAACTGAAATTTAGCATTTCCATCATTTATTTATTTATTTTGCTAGGCAGTTGGGTTAAGTGACTTGCCCAGGGTCACACAGCTAGTGAGTGTTAGGTGTCTGAGGCTGCATTTGAACTCAGGTCCTCCTGACTCCAGGGCTGGTGCTCTATCCACTGTGCCACCTAACTGCCTCTCCTCTCCATTGATTATTTAAAAACACTATTCTGAGAAGGGGTCTATAGGCTTCAGGAGAGGGCCAAAGGGGTCCAGGACACACAAATGGTTAAGAGCCCCTTTATCATCCCTATGCTAAACAGTTAAAAAGTAGTGCTTCAGTAAACACTCATCACTTGAAGAGCATTTTAGGTGTTTTTATAGAAAAGTTCAAAACGAAACAATCATAATAGTTATATACTGACCTGGTCTGTAGATGTGGCTGTTTGTAAGTTTTTTTGTGGAAGTCAATTCTATTTGTTGTCTCATTCAGAGCAATATTTTCTTTAGATTCCCCCCATGGTTTTAGCCTCCCTACATAAGAGAAAAAAGAAAAGTTTTAGTAGATGCTTACATTTATATCGCTTTGTTCTTATCAGCTATAGCTCCCTGCTGAACGTCAAAGTTTGTCCTTTGAAAAATACACATGCACATACACACCCATCTACCCACACACCATACAGTCTTCTCATTTTGATACCATACTCCTGGAATGAACTTCAAGTATTAAGGC